CACTGTTATGTAATGTTTGATTCCTTCAAGTAGTGAAATGATCGGCTTATCTCTATACTCCAAGATTGCGCGATTAAAAGCCTCACACATATTGTTGACTTGAAAATCACATTGTGTGTTTGTTTTGAAATGAGACAGAGTCCAACATGCAGCTTGGACATCCATCATGTCTTTCCAAGCATTGACATTGAGCTCTTTCATATGATTCATTGCTCTTTCCCATGCACATATTTTTATGGCTCTAGCTTCCTGCCATAAAGCCTCCTTCATGAATATCCCAGGATATTTCTTTCTCCAATTGCCATACAAGCGTTTAACACATAGTCAGTGTTCAACATGTTGGCTTGTCTCAAGAATAGTCGGTACCAATCCCTGAACATACAATCCATAACAGCATTATAAATAACACTGTAAATCCATAACACACATGTAAATAACATTGTAAATCCATAACACATATCAGCATATAGCAGCATGTAAATAACATTGTAAATCCATAACAGCACTGTAAGTAACATTGTAAATCTATAACACATATCAGCACATAGTAGCATGTAAATAACATTGTAACAAATAGCAAATATCAGCACATATCAGCACATAACATCACATAACACATATCAGCAAATAAATAACACATAACAGATATCAACATGTAAATAACATTGTAACAAGTAGCATATATCAACATATAACAACACATAACACATATCAACAAATAACAAATAGAAAATAGCAGCACATATCAGCATGTAAATAACAGCACATAACACATATCAGCACATAACAAATAGCAACAAATAGCCGCACATAGCAACACATATCATCACATAACAAATAACAATTAGCAAATAGCAGCACATAGCAACACATATCAACACATATCAACACATATCAGCATATAACACATATAACAAATAACAGCACTATAAAACTAACCTTTTGTTGATCTGATATAAATCCATATTTGTTGTCTTGAATAGATTGCAAGTCTTCTAGTAACAAATTAAGGAACCATTTCCAAGAGTCTTTCGTTTCAGCTTCCACGACGGCATAAGCGATTGGATAAATCTTGTTATTTCCATCCTTACCAACAACACCTATTAACTGACCTCCAAAGTCCCCTTTAAGAAAACAAGCATCCGGTCCTATTAGAGGCCTACAAGTCATTGCAAACGCTGCCTTACAAGCTTCTAAGCATACATATATTCTTTCAAAGACAGAACCACCATCTGAATCAGCACACTTAATTTTAATAGTGGAGTTTGGATTTGACTTTAACAGCTCCTCACCATAGCTTCTAAGATGTGTGAATTATTCACGACCAGCACCTTGAATCAATTCCATTGCCTTTTTCTTGGCTCTATAAGCTTGATCCTTTGACAACTTCACCCCCACTTCTTAATAGCTTCTGCAATCAGCTCTTTGGTTTTTATTTCAGGAGTGTGTCTTATAGTGTACACAAATTGGCGACCCGACCAATCCATTTTTGCTTGTCTATTTTTGGTTGTCCTATGACAACCATGATGATCAGTTAAGCTAACAAGTTGCCAATGATGGTTGGTAGTCCTCATGCTAAACCTAATATAAAATGGACAACCATCTAAACACTTGACAACCATTCTCTTCTTGTCATTTTTCTTGAATACAAGATTCTTCTTGTTCTCCATTGCATACTCCTTTATGGCATCTTTGATTTATGTTTTATCCTTGAACATCATCCCTACTTCAAGTTTTGTGGTTTCCCTAAAGATTGGAAACTTTGCCATATCACCTTCAGCATCACTACCGGGTGGAGTTTGAAGCACATCTGAATCACTACCATTATCGGAATTACCATCCAACTTAGAAGGGTTTTCTGCTATAGCATTAGGTAAAACGGTCTTCCAATTAATACCAACGTCAGCGCCTAAATTCATCTCATCAAATTCATCTTCCAAATCTTCATCCTCTTCCTCGTCATCTTCACTGCCCATGTTATAATCTGGATCTGTTTCACTCTCTTCATCTACGTCATCAACATTAACGCTAACCTCTTCATCTACTCCATCAACACTAACCTCTTCATCATTTGCTCCCTCAACATTAACTTCATCGTTTGCTCCCTCGACATTAACTTCATCGTTTGCTCCCTCAATATTAACTTCATCATTTTCTCCCTCGACATTAACTTCATCGTTTTCTCCCTCGACATTAACTTCACTGTTTGCTCCCTCAACATTAACTTCATCATTTGCTCCCTCAACATTAACTTCAACATTTGCTCCCTTGACATTAACTTCACCGTTTGCTCCCTCAACATTAACTTCACCGTTTGCTCCTTCATCATTATCCTCCTCAAAAATAACATCCTCAATACTTATTTATTCAATTTTGTGTTCAACATAAATATCAACTACCTTAAATCCTCTAACATCCTCCATTAACCTTAAGACATCATTATCATTGTTCAGAGGCCGAAGTCCATGAGAAAAGGAAAATTTAAGATTCCAATACCATAAACACTTTATATTACGATACCCCTCACTTTTGATCAAATCTTCAATTTGCATGTAGGACATCAAGTCCACATCCCAATCCCAATTCATTTCAGTTACAAGCCCACCAACATACAACATAACTGGATTCTGAATTAAATATCCCCTATGGTGTACTCTAAATCTGATAGTTTGGGTATCAGAGGACCTACAACAGAACATAAACAAATGAAAACATAGATAAAAATGAGACCACATCAAATTAAGACTACTACAGCGAGTTTAGGGTATAAACAAATCATATGCTATGACAGAACACAAACGACATTTGTGTGTTTAGGGTTTTTGAATTCAGAGTTGAGATACGAAACATACCTCGACACGTAACTTCGGTTTGCCATTTCAGAGACGAGCTAACTACTACAGCGACAACGAGAGTTGATTTGTGGTTTGATTTGGAACGACAACTGCAGAATCTTTAATTACGGTTCGTCTTCGTGCGTGAAAGGGGAAGAGTAAGAAACTTCATTCCTGAACTAGGTTTGAAGAATTGGCTACAGAAATGGCTGAAGAAATAGGTTGTTCTTCGTGCGCTGGGGTTTTACAAAAGTGAATTTAATTTCCTAAAAAATGAAATCAAAAAAATAAATAAATGAAATAAAAAATATAAATGACATGAAAATGATATTTGGTGAATAAGACCATTTTAAATGACATAGAAATGTCAAATCTTCATTCAACGCGCCACATCATTAAAAACATGACTTAAAATGACAAGGGGACTAATATCAAACTCGAAATTTAAAATGAGGACCTAAATGGTGGTTTTTAAAATGGGAAATCAAAACCTAAAAAAACACAAAATAGAAGGACCAAAATTGCAATTAAGCTATATATATATATATATATATATATATATATATATATATATATATATATATATATATATATATATATATATATATATATATATATATATATATATATATATATATATATATATATATATATATATATTCCGTAGTAAAATCTTTCTATCAAATTATGATTATATGTATATTCCATAGTAGTGATCGTACAAAGCCTTTCACCGCTACATACTAATCCTAATCACCTTAAACGTATAAAACTACTAATACATCTAAATATCTTATACCCATGTAAAAAAACCAACACACACCTATATTTTTTTAACAAATACTACTTTTTTTTTTCTTTCCATATGTTCTTTTGTTATATAACAAGTACATTATTTTTATTTTTTTTTCATATGTTCTTTTGTTATATTAATTTCTAAGAAAATTTGGTTAGGAAAAAGACTTTTCTTATCGTGAATGCCGCATATTAGTTGTATTGATTAATATTGTTCACCACAACTATGATAAACTTTGAAAAATCCTAAATGTTGTCAAATCCATATTTTAACGTTCAGCTGGTTCTGAACTTTTTTATTTATTTTTATAATCAAACAAATATATTAACACAAATAGAATACAAACAGTATTCTGAACAGTCAAAGTACAAGAAGGGATGCGGAGCATCTTTTCACAGACTAAAACACTTTTACAAGAAATTTAGGGGAAAATTAAACCATTTATGAAAGTTACATTATTTAGAGCTAATAACTAACCACCTAGAAGAGCATTAAAAATATGTACATAGAAGAGCATTAAGTTAAATATCTTTTTCATAATGACTGAATAATTAAATACGTTCACTTTTTCTTTACAACACTTGAATCCAAAATCAGTAAGAACTTAAAGAATGTTTAAATGTATTTTTTATCCCCAAATTTAGTACTTTTAATTTTTTAGTCCTCTTTAAAAGAAATTCAGTTTTTTAGTTCTTTCATTTAATATTTTTTGAGATTTTTTAGCCTCCTTTAAATTTGTTTAGTTGAAATTTCATTTTATGACGTGACACTCACATGACATTATGTATGTGACGCGAGTCATAAAATGTTTCATGTCAATTTTCTAAAATAAAAAAAATATTTTAATAATATTATTTAATATTATTAATAATTTATTTATTTATTAGTATTTATTAAAAAATTATTGGTTCCACATATCAAAGAATGATTGGCTAATAAATGAGTAATTTAATTTTTAACATGTGCAACCAATAATTATTTAGTAAATATCTAGTAAAATTTTGACATGTGAATAATTATTTAAAAAAACTGAATTTTTGTAAAGGAGACTGAAAATTTAAACATATTAAAATTAAGGGATTTAAACCTAAAATATAAGTGAAATATACAACTAGTTTTACTGAAAAGTAACATATAATATAGAGAAAAGATATGTTGACATCAGGGTTTAACACCTACACCGTAATTGTCTGCATAATACATACTAATTGTGTTGTTTAATAATTTATTTTGTATTGATTTGAGTGCAAGAAAAATTTTCTTTGATGATAAATACGGTGTCAAATTAGCAAAGCTCTATAATATAACATATCAAATTAACCTAAGAACAAAGACTAAGAATCTTCATGAACAACAAGTAGGCGTTCTCTTTATTTTAAGTTCTTGTTAGTGTGAGGAGATGTCAACTCTCGAAGCTTCCTCTCTTGTGAAAGTATTTTTGCAAACCTGAAAAAATTAAAGTTGATATTTAACTATTGAACATATATAAAAATGAATCATCTGAAAAAAAAATTGTTGATAACTATTGAAAACCTTCAATACCTTTTAAGAGCTTCTTGGTTGGTTTCAAGATTTTCAGCAGGCTCACACATGCCGTTCTCTAAATTGACCTTAGACACAGGTTTGTTCAATAACCTTTCTCCAATTTTGCATAGGTTTTCTAAATTCTCTTTGGTGGCAATATCAACGGAAGAGTCAATACCAGTCAATGTATCATCTTGTATTCGAAGATAATTATCTTGACAGTTAAGCGCTTGAGTGACAGTAGCAATATGAAAATCAACCATATCTCCGGAGGCTTGACTAAAGATGTCAATTAAGGCAGTGCAACCGCCATGAGTTAACCAATTCAACAGACCCCATTTTGCTGCCATTTTTGCATCAAATTTTTGTTCATTCTTTGGCGTACCAGTTCCCAATGAGATTATCAGAAAGCGACTATATTCCATGGGCTTGATGGCATAGAAGTCATTATTCTGATTAACTATCTGCTTGGTTACTTCATTCACTGCCACCAAAGTCTGGATCATCAAATTATTACCAAAAACAAATAAAACTAATGAGTAACATTCATTACAATATTATAAAGCTTAATTTTCAAAAACTGTTTTAAAATATATTAATATACCGGATTATTTGCACAAACACCACCGTCAATGAGGTTGAATTCATGTACGTTTCCTTCGCTGTCTTGGTTCTTGAAGTTGTAACCTGGAAGATAAGTGGGAGCAGCAGAAGTACTGATGCATATGTCAGAGAGTCGAGCATCCATGCATGGGGTGTTGAAAGATTAAACTTGATTTGGGCCTAAAATATTATTTGGATTTTTGGGCTTAGTTGTTTTGGACTTAAGTAATTTTAATTAATGTTTCTAGAATACTCTTGTAATGTTTGGAGTGTCTAGATATTTCTTAGGGTTGTAATACTTTCTAGAGTACTCTTGGAATTTTTAGAGTTGAGAACTCTCTAGAATTAGTGTGTCTAGAGTTCTCCTTAGAGTACTATAAATAGAGATGTAATTCTACACTTTTGCATCAAGCAAAATACAAAGTTCTCTCTTCCATAAATATTCGTCCACCTATCAAGTTTTTCTTTAAGCCTCTAATATTCCCACACATTTTTCCTAAACACAAAAGGTCTTATTTCCAACAAAGTGGCATCAGAGCTTGAAGGTCTTCAAAAGATGGCGAATGGAGGTTTCCCTTTTCAAATTCCGATACTCACAAAGAACAACTATGACAATTGGAGTATCAAGATGAAGGCACTACTAGGAGCTCAAGATGTGTGGGATATTGTTGAGAAAGGCTTCAAGGAGCAAGATGAAGCCTCCTTAAGCCAAGGTGTAAAGGATACATTAAAGGAGTCAAGAAAGAGAGACAAGAAAGCTCTCTTCCTCATTTATCAATCGGTGGATGAAGATACATTTGAGAAGATCTCCAATGCAACGACGGCGAAAGAAGCATGGGACAAGCTTCAAACTTGCAACAAAGGAGTGGAACAGGTGAAAAAGATTCGTCTTCAAACTCTTAGAGGTGAGTTTGAACGTTTATTTATGGAAGAGTCTGAGTCAATTTCTGATTATTTTTCTCGAGTATTGTCCGTAGTCAATCAACTTAAAAGAAATGGTGAAGATGTTGATGAGGTGAAAGTCATGGAGAAAATACTTCGCACTTTAAATCCAAGTTTTGACTTCATTGTTACCAACATTGAAGAAAATAAGGATTTAAACACCATGACTATTGAGCAACTTATGGGTTCCTTACAAGCATACGAAGAAAAACAAAAGAGAAAAATCAAACAAAAGGAAAATATGGAGCAACTACTACAACTCAATGCAAAAGAAGCAAACTATGCAAATTACAACAGTCAAAGAGGACGAGGTCGTGGCCAAGGTCGTGGACGTGGCTGTGGACGAGGACATGAAGGAGAAAGAAGAGGTAGTTACAACAACTACTCCAACAACTTCAACAATGGAGAAAGAAGTTGGAATCCACAAGCAACAAGAGGTCGTGGAAATGGAAATTCATGGTCAAGATGCAACAAGCTACAAATCAAGTGTTTCAATTGCAACAAAATTGGTCACTATGCATCTGAGTGTAAATTCTCAAAGAAGGTGGTGGAGAGAGCTAATTTTGTAGAAGAAAAAGGTGGAGAAGAAGAAACTTTGCTGCTTGCGTGCCAAAACCAATTTGAAGAGAAAAGAAACAAGTGGTACCTCGACACCGGGGCAAGCAACCACATGTGCGGCGATCGAAGCATGTTCATAGAGATCAATGAAGCGACAACTGGAAATGTCTCATTTGGAGATGACTCAAAGATACCGGTCAAAGGCAAAGGTAAAATTCTCATACGCTTAAAGAATGGGAGTCATCAATTCATATCCAATGTCTACTATGTTCCTAACATGAAAAATAATATTTTGAGCTTGGGACAATTATTGGAGAAAGGATATGACATCCACTTGAAAGAACATAGTCTTTTCTTAAGAGATTGTGGGCATAACTTGATTGCTAAGGTGCCTATGTCAAAGAATAGAATGTTCCTCTTGAACATTCAAAATGATGTGGCAAAGTGTCTCAAGGCTTGCTATACCGACTCTTCATGGCTATGGCATCTACGATTTGGACACCTCAACTTCGGTAGTCTAGAATGTTTGTCAAAGAAGGAGATGGTGAGAGGCTTGCCTAGTATAAACCACCCAGACCAACTATGTGAAGGATGTCTAATTGGGAAGCAATTCCGGAAAAGCTTTCCAAAGGAATCAACATCAAGAGCGACAAAACCACTAGAGCTCATACACACTGATGTCTGTGGACCAATCAATCCAAACTCTTTTGGTAAGAATAAATATTTTCTCCTCTTTATTGATGATTATTCTAGAAAAACGTGGGTTTATTTCTTGAAGGAGAAGTCAGAAGTGTTTGAAAACTTTAAGAAGTTCAAAGCCCTTGTGGAGAAAGAAAGTGGTCTTTCTATTAAGGCTATGAGATCTGACCGAGGAGGCGAGTTTACTTCAAATGAGTTCAACAAATATTGTGAAGAGCATGGGATCCGCCGCTTACTAACAGTGCCAAGATCGCCACAACAAAATGGAGTAGTGGAGAGAAAGAATCGGACCATACTTAATATGGTGCGAAGCATGCTTAAGAGTAAGAAGATGCCGAAAGAGTTTGGGCCGAAGCAGTGGCATGTGCGGTTTACCTGACAAACCGTTCCCCAACAAGAAGTGTGCATGAGAAGACACCACAAGAAGCATGGAGTGGAAGGAAGCCAGGGATCTCTCACCTCAAAGTGTTTGGAAGCATTGCATATACCCACGTTCCAGATGAAAGGAGAACAAAGCTCGATGATAAAAGTGAGAAGTATGTATTTGTGGGTTACGACTCAAGCTCCAAAGGGTACAAGCTCTATAATCCAAATAGCGGAAAGATTGTCATAAGTCGTGATGTGGAGTTCGAAGAAGAAGATTGTTGGGGTTGGAATGTTCAAGAAGACAGGTATGATTTTCTTCCTTATTTTGAAGAAGAAGAAGATGAAATGGAACAACCAATGATAGATGAACATATTACACCACCTTCCTCACCGACACCAAGGTTGGATGAAACAAGCTCAAGTGAGAGGACACCACGATTAAGAAGCATTGAAGAGCTTTATGAGGTAACCGAAAACCAAAATGACATTAACCTCTTTTGTCTTTTTGGTGATTGCGAGCCTCTAAGCTATCAAGAAGCTGTTGAAAATGTAAAGTGGAGAGATGCCATGGATGAAGAAATAAAGTCAATCACGAAGAATGATACGTGGGAACTTACTACACTTCCACGAGGACACAAAGCAATCGGAGTAAGATGGGTGTACAAGGCAAAGAAGAATGCAAAAGGAGACGTGGAGAGATACAAAGCAAGACTGGTGGCAAAAGGCTATAGTCAAAGACAAGGAATTGACTATGATGAGGTATTTGCCCCCGTTGCTCGTCTTGAAACTATTAGACTAATCATTTCTTTGGCAGCCCAGAATGAATGGAAGATCTATCAAATGGATGTGAAGTCGGCCTTCTTGAATGGTTTTCTCGAAGAAGAAGTTTATATCGAGCAACCACAAGGATATGAAGTAAAAGGGCAAGAAGAAAAAGTCCTCAAGTTGAAAAAGGCGTTGTACGGACTCAAGCAAGCACCGAGAGCTTGGAATGTTCGAATCGACAAGTACTTTCGAGACAAGAATTTCACCAAGTGTCCATATGAGCATGCACTCTATATTAAAGCGCAAAGTGGAAATATTTTGATTGTGTGCCTATATGTTGATGACTTAATCTTCACTGGGAACAATCTAAGCATGTTCGAAGAGTTCAAGAAAGACATGTCAAATGAATTTGAGATGACAGATATGGGGCTCATGGCATATTATCTTGGCATTGAAGTAAAGCAAGAAGGCAAAGGAATTTTTATCACCCAAGAAGGCTATGCAAAAGAAGTCCTTAAGAAGTTCAAGATGGATGATGCGAATCCGGTTGGCACCCCGATGGAATGTGGGAGCAAGTTGAGTAAGCATGAAAATGGAGAGATTATGGATCCAACTCTTTATAAAAGTTTGATTGGAAGTCTACGTTACTTGACAAGTACAAGGCCAGATATTCTCTATGCTGTAGGAGTCGTAAGTCGTTACATGGAAGCTCCAACAACAACTCACCTCAAGGCGGCAAAGAGAATCCTTCGATATATCAAAGGTACAACAAACTTTGGCTTACACTATTACTCTTCTAACAATTATGAAATTGTTGGCTATAGTGATAGCGATTGGAGTGGAGACGTGGACGATAGAAAAAGCACTACTGGTTTTGTGTTCTTTATGGGAGATACTGCTTTCACTTGGATGTCAAAGAAACAACCTATCGTCACACTGTCAACTTGTGAAGCTGAATATGTTGCCGCTACATCATGTGTTTGTCATGCAGTTTGGCTAAGGAACTTGTTGAAAGAGTTAAAAATGCCACAAGAAGATCCTATGGAAATATGTGTTGACAATAAATCAGCACTTGCTTTGGCAAAGAATCCTGTATTTCATGAAAGAAGTAAACACATCGACACCCGTTACCACTTTATAAGAGAATGCGTCGAGAAGAAGGATGTGAGGTTGAAGTATGTGATGTCTCGAGATCAAGCTGCCGACATTTTCACCAAGCCACTCAAGTTGGAAACGTTCATAAAGCTAAGGAGTATGCTTGGAGTCACAAATCAAGTTTAAGGGGGGATGTTGAAAGATTAAACTTGATTTGGGCCTAAAATATTATTTGGATTTTTGGGCTTAGTTGTTTTGGACTTAAGTAATTTTAATTAATGTTTCTAGAATACTCTTGTAATGTTTGGAGTGTCTAGATATTTCTTAGGGTTGTAATACTTTCTAGAGTACTCTTGGAATTTTTAGAGTTGAGAACTCTCTAGAATTAGTGTGTCTAGAGTTCTCCTTAGAGTACTATAAATAGAGATGTAATTCTACACTTTTGCATCAAGCAAAATACAAAGTTCTCTCTTCCATAAATATTCGTCCACCTATCAAGTTTTTCTTTAAGCCTCTAATATTCCCACACATTTTTCCTAAACACAAAAGGTCTTATTTCCAACATGGGGTTCTCTTGCTTTGATAAGTTGAAAAAATAATCGGTTGCATCGACTTTATGTCAAACGCGGGGATCACAATGTTGGTGAGAGTCTCATGCACGCGAGTTTCTCCAAGCTTCTCCTTCACCACATTGTGAAGATATTTTCCATCATATTTTGGTCCTGCCAATGATCTAAACAATTTCCCCATAGAACCTAACATGTGCCTGCGTATCATATAATATTATATAATTAAATCATTCATTTTTTTAATCTTGAGATTTAATAAGATACAATTATATTTAATTTATATGCATGCATACTTGTTTTGTGGGAAAATATTTGGACAGTGTTCCAAGTAAAAGGGTTTGATATCTTTAGCAGCAAAAAGTGGACGTTGTTTATCATTTGGAGCCGTTAACATGGCAGTTACAAGACCACCGGTACTTGTCCCTGTAATCACATCAAAGTAATCTGCAAGTCGTGCAGATTCACCGTCCAATTCTTGAAGTTCTGATTCAAGGTACTCGAGGATAGTTGCAGGAATAAGGCCTCTAATACCGCCACCATCGATACTTAGAATTGTGACTAAGTTTCCATAAGTTGGAGGCTGAATTTGTAGAAGTGAGGATTGTGTTCTCTCCATTGTTGAAAGATATATGGAAAGTTGAAGTTTGTAGATATATTAAAGAAGAAAGCTTATGAAATATTAATTAATTGTTTTCACAAATAGAAAATGTTGCAAGAAAGTGACGAAGCTAGAATTAAATATATTTAGTTGATTGATAGATTGCATTCTATGAAGTTGTATTTATAATAGATTTTAGGTTGGAATGGGTATATTAATTTCATGGTAAATGTGTTGAATGCTTACCAAGTCTAGCAGTAATGAAGGCTAAGTACGCGTGGAATGTTCGGCCTAATTTGTGATTTTATTATTAGTTAAGACAAAACAAAATGGAATAATCAGTGTTATGGACTTTTAGAATATCTTAATTTCTTACGAATCATTTTTACGAAGGTGGGGTTCACAAATGAGTGGTACATCATTTAAAGAGAACCAATCTAAATTTGATCGATTTGATATTTTATATTGAAAAATCAAAGTAAGTTAAGTTTTCTTTGAGAAAAATATTCGTTTTCCTTTTGTGTGGTAGTTTAAAATTATGACTTATACTCCTTCCATTTGGTATATTCTGTCCGTTACGGCATAAACAATCTTCGGATAAGATCAAACATTTGGAAGTTAACACTTTGGGAAGTTCATAGTTTGGATTTTCAACACTTAAAATCTGCATATTTTGTGAATTGCCCCTAATCTAAATTTAACAATTATGAATGCATTGAAGGGAGAGAATCCACTCTAAACTTCAAGTTAAAGCAACACGACCCGAAAAAATAACACCGAAAGTGTTCTGATAAAGAATCAGAAATATGTAACGATTCGCTATGACCTAGAGCAAAATTTTGGTATATTGGATATAAGGTGAACCTCCAAGATTAACACTCCAATAAAAAAATTATAATTGATTGAAAAGTAGTTTGAGTGAGAATAAATTGAATATCTGAAATGATACGATCTGATATTTATATAGTATATGATTAAAATCGTCTGGGTGTTCACCATATAACATCATCCTGGTACGACCATCTATCAACTCCTTGGGAGCAGTCGTATCCACGTTGTACCTAACTTTAAAATACTCATTCCTTTATGGGTGAGTTGATACAATCCAAGGGGACCGACAAACAGCTTGAGAATGCTATCAAAGTAGCTTGGAGACAGGCAAAGAAGAGCTCACCCTTGTTGACGTCCCTTCTTCACAAGTTCCAAATATTGAATTCGAGTATTAGGACCACCGATTGGGCGCGAAAGTAGAAAGACTCATGCCCACAGAAGAATTGAACTAGGTCCAGATAAGTCCTCACGCCCATCAGGCGACAAAGATAAATACTTCGTTGTCCGCAGAAGAGGAACGAGAGTGAGTTGACCAACTCATTAAGAATGTCAACCTATTTGCTTGGGCTCCCACCGAAGTTTCAGGAATAGACACCAAAGTGGTAAGCCATCGCCTTGCCATCTACCCTTCCGCCAGACCAGTTGCATAGAGGAAGCGAAAAAGTATGCGAGGAAAAAAGGGTTGCATTATATGAAGAGGTGGGAATGCTATCTGATGTTATATTCATCACGAAAAAAAATACCCCAACTGGTTTGGCAACATGGTTCGGGTACGAAAAGTTGACAACATGTGGCGCATGTGTGTGGATTTCGTCGATCTGAATGCTACCTGCCCTAAAGACCCATATATGTTGCAGGCATCAATCACCTCATTGATGGGTCTTTGCACTTCCGCGCATTGAGCTTTACGGAAGCATACTTAGGGTACAACAAGATACGGATGGACCCCTTAGATGCACCCAAAACAGCCTTCGTGTCAAATCATGGCAACTACTACTACAATGTCGTGCCCTTCAACCTCAAGAACGTTGGTGCCACCTACCAGCAGCTCATAGGCACTGTCTTCTCCCATTAGATAGGGAGAAATATAGAGGTGTACGTTGACAACATGATAGTCAAGACTGTCGAAAGGCACAAACCATGCAAAATATTTGAAGGATGATTTGCAGTCAGTTAGGAAATACCATATGCGCCTAAACGTCGCCAAATGTTCATTCAGGGTTCAGGAGAAGAAACTCCTAGGTTTCATGCTGACACAAAGAGGCATTAGGCTAACCCAAATAAGTGTCAAGTAGTTACACTACTACAAAAAGTATATACAACAACGCCGATCTTACCACGGTCCTTTGAAGAACCGTGGTGACATCTCTAAACTGAGGCGCCAATAGTTTTCTTAGTTTTTAATTAAAAATTGTTAACATATTATCATGGATAGTTAGTTCAACCATGGTGATATAATCAATCTTTCATGATTTCGAATCTCAGCTCCAGCACATAATTTGTTTCTTTAACATTTTAGTCGCGCCTTTCTTTTGATTTATTTTTAAATAAAAAATAAATGTGATATCCTTACGGTTGTTTAAAACAATCGTTGTGATAGATTTTTCATTTTGTTTTAAAATTTTTAAAAAGTTAAAAACTGGAACTTCTTTATAAAATTTCATTAAGTAAATTATATATCACCACGATTGTGGTAAGTGACCGTGGTGGTATCCCTTATTCATTTTCAAGTAACACATCTAAGTATATTGTCTCTTCAATTGCCATTTTTTCCACTGAAAAATGAAACCAGACGATTTCAACCATAATATTCATCTTTCGTCGTTCATCGATCATTAGCGAAACGACACACAATTTTAACCCTAACATTCATCACTCATTGTTCATCGTCCATTTTGATTTAAAACAAACAAAGCAACCATCTTCATCTTCGTCGTTTGTCATTATCATTTTGCTCAAAAACCGTCGTGGAGGAAGAAAACACCATCCTTTATCCTCAAGAACTATCATCACGTTTACTTATTCATAACGAAGAAATCTCACAACATAATCTCCTTTACTTACTCACCAGATTTTCGGTATGTACTTTTTCCCTATCTATCTATAGTAAATTTAGTTCTCGTTGTTTTTATGTTTATGTTTATGTTGTTGATGTTGAATGTTTAAGATTATTCTTGTTGTTGAATGTGTATGATCACATTTGATTAATATTTTGTTGTTGTTGTTGTTGTTATTTGTTGAATGTGTATTACATACATTTTTTTAATCTTTTGTTATTGTTGTTGTTGTTGTTATTGTTTTTTTTTGTTGTTATTGTTGTTGTTGTTATTGTTGTTGTTGTTGTTGATGTTGTTGTTATTGTGTGTTATTTTACTGTTGTTGAATGTGTATGATCACATTTGATTAACATTTTTGTTGTTGTTGTTGTTGTTATTTGTTGAATGTGTATTAGAGACATTTGTTTAGTATTTTGTTGTTGTTTTTGTGCGTTGTTTTCTTGTTGTTGAATGTGTATGATCATATTTGATTAATATTTTGTTGTTGTTGTTATTCTTTAAATGTGTATTAGAGACATTTATTTAATCTTTTGTTGTAGCAGTTGTTGTTGTTTTTGTTGTTATTGCTGCTGCTGCAGGAGTTGTTGTTGTGTATTATTTTGTTGTTGTTCAATGTGTATGATCACATTTGTCTTGTTAAGATTGGTATAATATTTTATTGTTGTTTTTGAACATATAGATGTCGTCTTTTTCATCTAGTTGCGACGAATCTATATAGAAGAAACTCGTACAAATGATTCTTAAGACGGAAAGAAAAGAAAACAAAGAGGCGCCACAATGATGGCTTTACTAACAAAAGTCCACAACTCTAGTTGCAAATTTATGATAACATTTCATGTGTTTTATAGAGTAGTTGATGGCAATTATTCTTCGCTTTTTAAGAATTATGTTGTGTTTCTTGAATGTAGCAAACTCAGTATATTGATAGATGATTGGAAAAAAGCATCAATGGATGTCAAAGATAACATATGGACAAACATATAGTATTAATTTTAAGTTTTATCTATTTGATATCATTTTCTATATTTCTAATACATACTTATTGATGTAAATGTAGTTGACTTTTGAGTTTACCGATGATTCGAAGTTGAGAAAAAGGTGGATCAGTTATACTGGTACGTGTTGGAGGGGCTTTAAGTCACGAATCACATGTGACTACATTACGAAGCCTAAGTCTGGTCTTTCGCGTCCTTGGATGAGATATAGTTTTATTTCGAAGAAGGTTTGGAAAAATTTTGTGAACTATCATCGTTCTGACAAATTCATGGTTACTAATCTTATTTTTTTGATAATTTTATGCTTATGATTTATAGATACTAATCATATCTTCAATATGTTTATAAAGGCTAAAAGTAAAGTCAGAAAACAAAATAAGGAAAAAAACATATACTCTCATAGATTGTCTCGTGAGAGTTATAAGAAACTTGATAATACAATGGTTAATAAAAAACAACAAATGGGAGATGATGAATCCATTAGTCATGATTGCAACTCATCTCCACCGTCACGACATGAGAATTGGAAGAGGGCTCGAATAAGACCAAATGGAGACTACATCTCAGATGCCTTAAAAGAAGTTGTTGAGAAAATTTTATGTATGATTTGTTGTGCATGTATATGTTATGTGTTATTTAAATTTCTTTGGTAAAAATATATATCATCATGTTGTGTAGGATCTGTTGGTTGTACCTTCCCGTGATGGCTCTTTTGTTCCAGAACCACAACATGATATACTGATAGAAGCAATTGGAATAGATGAGCATGGTGGGTGTGTTCGTGGTGTTGGAGAAGGCGTCAACCTGAGATTATACTATGGTTCATCCAGAAAAAGCACCAAAAGATGCAAAAAGAAACGATTGACAATTTTGAGAAGATGTTAGAAGAAAAAAGGGAAAAGTATGATGAAAAGTTAGCTGAGGAGTGAAAAAAATGCATGGTAGATGTGGAAAAGTTAGAAGAGTTGTATGTAGTATATGAGAATAATGTTTTATCTGAAATGTACGTGGTTCTAGCATAAAAGGAAGTTATTCAGTCGCCCCTTCCAGATATCTATAATGACATATTTGTTCCTTCCACAAATGAAGTCTGGATATTGACCAAAGAACTTGTGGATGTTGTAGACCCAAATCC